TCTACCTCTACCTTCTCAAGCATGATGTCCTTTTCCAGTGATTGACCCTCCCAACAACATATCCAAACTCCCAAAGACCAATCTCTCGATCCTGGCTTGTAAGAAGCATTCAGGCTGTGCTTCTTTCAAGACATGAGTATGGAGGATTACAACTTTAATATGCTCCTTGTTGTTGTTAGGTGCCATCAAGTCAGCTATGACTCACAGCATCTCGATGAATTTGGCCCTATTTAGCACCACCATCATAGCCTCTGATATGTTTGGCCTGCGTTATACAGTTGACATAACTTTGCTTGCCAAAACTGAGGAGTTGGAGTCTTTGCTGAAGAAGGTCAAGGATTGTAGCCTTCAATATGGATTGAAGCTCAACATCAAAAACCCCCAAAGATTCCCACCACTGGGCCAAATGGCAGCATCATGAAAGATAGAGAAAAGATTAAGGTTGCTAACAATTTCATCTTCCTCAGATCCACAATCAACTCTTGGCACCAGCAGTCAGGAAATCAAGACAAGTTGCTTTAGAAAAATCTGCTGTCAGGGACCTCTCAAGAGTGCTGAAGAGCAATGATGTTACTTTAAAGACTAAAGTCTTCCTGATACAGGTCATGGTATTTTCAACAGCTTACTATGCATCTGAGATCTGTACAGTGACTAAGGACGACAGAATATTATATGCCTTTGAGAAGAATATTGAAAGTACTGCCAAGAGAACAAATAGGTCAGTCTTGAAAAGGGTGAAACCAGGTTGCACCTTGGAGGCCAGGATTTTCACGCTCTGTCTCATTTACTTTGGGTATGTTGTCAGAAGGGACTAGTCCTTGGAGAAGGACATTATGCTTAGAAGAGTAGAGGGTCAGTGCAGGAGAGAAAGACCCTGGATGAGATGGATTGACACAGTGACTGGGGCAATGGGGGCAGATGCGTCCAAGACCAGAGACAGTGAGATTGCCTCAGAATAGGGCAGGGTTCACAGCTATTGTTCACAAGGTCTCATGGAGTCCTAATTGATGGCACATAGCAACATTATTACATTGTGTCAATCCATCTTGTTGAGGGTCTTCCTCTTTCTCTCACCCTCCACCTTTCCCAGCTGATTTCTTTTTCAAAGGAGTACCTTCTTCTTAAAATTTGTCCAAAAATATATGAGACAAAATTGCACTATCCTTGCTTCTAAGAAGCAAGGTGATTGCATTTCCTCCAAGGCAGACCTGTTTGTTCTTTTGGCAGTTCATGGGATACTTCTCCAACACCACACTCAAAGGCATTTTCTTCCTCTGTCATCCTAACCCATTGTCCAATTTTCAGAGACCGAGGAGTTCTTGTGGTCTCGTGGCAAGAAGCTGCACTGCAATCCCAAAGGTACGTGTTCAAGGCAACCAGCTGCTCTGCGGGAGAAAGATGGGAAATTTCCTCCCCCACAATTAACTGCCTTTGAAAACCCACCAGAGGGTCAGCTGTGGGTCAGTTCCCATACACAACAACAATAAAACAAGCAACTGAAAATACCATGGCAACTGCATCGTAGCTTGTAAACAGACATCCTTGCTTTTGGTATTTTGGAGAGGTGCTTGACACCAGATTTTCCCAATGCAATGTATCTTTTAATTTCTTGACTGCTGTTACCATGGATATTGATTGTGGGTCCAAGTAAATGAAATCTCTGATAGCTTCAATCTTTTCTCCATTTGTCATGTTACCATGTTGTCCAGTGGTGAAGATTTTTGCTTTCTTGATGTTGAGATGTAATCCACATTGAAGGTTGCAGTTTAAGAGCTTCTGCAGCCAGTGGCTCAAGTCATCTTTGCTTTCTTCAAGCAAGATTGTGTCATCTGTGTAACACAGGTTGTTGACGAGTCTTTCTCCAATCCTGCTGCCACATTTGTCTTCACATAGTGTAGTTTCTCAAATGATTTGCTCAGCATACAGATTGAGAGAGTATGGAGAAAGGATACAACCCTGAGGTACACCTTTCCTGATTTTAAACCATACTGTCTTCCCTTGTTCTAGTAGGATAATTGCTTTTTGGTCTATGCATAGGTTTTGAAAGAACACAATTAAGTGCTCTATGATTCCCATTCATCTAAGTATTAGCCATAATTTGTTATAGTCTGAAAACACGGACCTGGTGACAGAAATAAGGCTGGGGATAGAACAATAGAATTCTGTACAATCAATGATTTATTCATAGCAAATACCTTTTATAAGAAACATAAATGCAGGCTATAAACATGGATTTCACTTTATGGGATGCACAGGAATCAGAACCATTACATCTGTGGAAGGAATTGTTGGAGAAGTTCATTATCAGCAGTGAAAAATAGGCCAGGTGCTGCTTGTGGAACAGACCATCAACTGCTCATATGCAAGTTCAAATTAAAGCTAAAGAAGTAGTTAAATCATATCCACAGAAATTAAATTTTATTTTGGGTCTATCCCCCTTGAATTTATAAGCCAACTCAGGAATAGGTTTGAGGCCTTGAACAATAATGAACAAAGACCAGATGAGCTGTGGAAAGATATCAAGAATATTGTTCATGAAGTTTGCAAAAATTCACTACAAAGAAGAAAGAAGAAGTAAAGACTAAAATAGATGTCAGAAGAGAATATTGCACTAGAGTGCCAAGAAGCCAAAGCAAAGGGAAGAAATCAAGAAGTTAAGGAGCTGAATAGAAGATTTCAAAGGGCAGCTTGGGAAGACAAAGCAAAGTATTATAATGAAATGTGCAAGGAGCGAGAATCAGAAAATTAAAAAGGCTGAACTCTCTCAGCATTTCTTAAGCTGAAGGAACAAAGAACAAATTCAAGCTGCAAGTTGCAGTGCTTAAGGATGCTATGGGCAGAAAGTGAATGATTCTAGAATCATTAAAAGAAGATGGAAGGAGTATACAGAGTCATTGTACCAAAAAGATGAGGCTGACACAGAAGAATTTCAAGATACATAAGATCAAGCAAGAGGCAATGGTGATGAAGGAGGAAGTGCAGGCTGCTCCAAAGGACTTGGCAAAAAATAAAGGCCCAGGAATTGGTGGAATACCAACTGACGAATTTCAACAAACAGATGTTGCCCTGGATGTGCTTACCAATCTGGAAGACAACTACTTGGTCAACTGACTGGAAGAGATCCATATTTATTCCCATTTCAAAAAAGGTGACCTGACAGAATGTGGAAATTATTGAAAAATATCACTAATATCACACACTAGCAAAATCCTGCTGAAGATTATCCAGAAATGACTGGAACAGTAAGTTGACAAAGAACTACCAGAAATACGAGCTGGGTTTAGAAGAGGCCATGGCACTAGAGAGACATTATTGCCAATGTCAGATGTATCTTGACAGAAAGAAAAGAGTACCAGAAGAATATCTGTGTTTCATTGACTATGCAAAGGCATTTGACTGTGTGGATCACAACAAACCGTGGCTAACCTTGAGGAAAATGGAAATCCCAGAACACTTGGTTGTGCTTATGTGAAGCCTATACGTGGACCAGGAAGCAGTCCTCAGAACAGAGGAGGGAAACATTGTATGGTTCAAAATCAGGAAAGGAGTGCGTCAGGGATACATCATGTCTCCATACCTTTTCAATCTGTATGCTGAACAAATCATTTGGCAAGCAGGGCTTTATGAGGAGGAATGGGCATCAAGATTTGAGAAAGAACCATCAACAACCTATGTTATGCAGATGACACAACCTTGCTTGCTGAAACTGGAAAAGACCTGAAGCACCTGCTACAGAAGATCAAGGACTGTAGTCTTCAATATGGATTGAAGCTCAGCATCAAGAAGACAAAGATTCTTGCCACTGAGCCAATTGGCAGCAACATGATAGATGGGGAAGAGGTTGAGGTTGTTAACAGTTACAGCTTGCTTAGATTCACAATCAGCACTCTTTAACACCAACAGTCAGAAAATCAAAAGAAAATTGTACTGGGACAATCTGCTGTCATGGACCTCTCCAGAGTGCTGAAAAGCAACAATGTCAGTCTAGAGATTAAGGTGCACCTAATCCAGGCCATGGTCTTTGCAATTACTTGTTATGCTTCAGAGAGCTGGACAATGACTAAGGATGACAGAAGAGGGATTGATGCCATTGCATTGTGGTGCTGGAGAAGATTCTTGAATATATCATGGACTGCCAAGAAAACAAATAGGTCTGTCTTGGAGAGGGTGAAACCAAGTTTCTCCTTGGAGGCTAGGATTTTGAAGCTCTGTCTCACATGCTTTGGGCACCCGTGGCCAGGAGCGATCAGTCCTGGAGAAGAACATCATGCTTGGAAGGGTGGACGGACAGTGCAGGAGAGGAAGACTCTGGGTAAGATGGATTGATAGAGTATCTGGGGCAATGGGGATTGGTGTGTGGGAATTAGTGGCAATGGCTCAGGACAGGGAAAGGTTCAGAGCTGCTATACAAAGGGTCACTATGGGTTGCAGGGCACATAACAACAACAAACATACAGTCAAATGCCTTTGCAAAGGCAAGAGAAAGCAAGTAAACATCTTTCTGGTCTTCTCTGCTTCAGTCAAGGTCTATCTGACATCAGCAATGACATACCTAATGCCACAGCTTCTTGATGCCAGTTTGGATTTCCATGTACTGCTCCAGCTGAGTTGTTTTCAGCAAGATTTTACTTGCATGTGATAGAAATTATATTGTTCAATAATGTCCACATTCTATTGAGTCATCTTTTTTGTTGATTTTTAGTTAACATGCTTGAAGTGGGGTTAATGATGGAAGTTTAATATACCCAATGGGCCAGGCTCCTTCTCGATGACCGCAAGTCCCAGCATGCTGCACCTACACCGACTTGTTAACGCACAAACGTGACCCACCGAACTGGCTGGCTCAGCCTGACGTCATGGGAACCTGCCCCCTCTCACTCCAGCGCAGCCACCAGCCAATGCGGCAGCGGCCCCGCCCCAGCCCTCACGCCTCGCTGCAGGGACTATCACACGAGGGAAGACGCACGCGTACTCGCTCCCTTCTCCTCACCTCTCCCTTCGTTAGTCGCTTCTTCGCATTCTACCGCCGGGTCCTTTTTGTCCCCTACTGCGTTCGGTGGCAGTTTCCGTGCGGAAGTGGTAGTCCTGGGAAAAAAGATGGCTGCCACTGCGGTGGCGCGGGCTGGCTCAATGGCCGGACGGGTCGCCAAGCGGGGTGGGGGCGGCCCGGGAGGCGGCGGCGGCGGCGGCGGTGGAGGGGCCAGGGGCTCAGAGGAGGAGCCGCCCCCCCCGCTCCAAGCAGTTCTGGTGGCCGATAGCTTCAATCGCCGCTTCTTCCCCATCTCCAAGGACCAGCCTCGGGTGAGCGCCGCGCACGCGAACAGCCGGAGGGCCCAGCGGTGGCTGCTGGAGCAGGCTCTCCTTTCGGCAGCCTCGCGGGCCCTGCTTTGCAGGAAGGGACCTCTGTCCGCCCGCTCTCCCTGAAATCTGGTTTAGGAGGAAAACGGAGGGACCCTTTAAATCCTGGAGCATGTGCATGGCTGCCACATTTGATACATTCGGGTCTGGAAGGATTAGAGGCATGGTGGAGGAGCAGAACTTGAGAGCAGCCTTCCCGCGGGGATTCCTTGGCTCAAGAGGAGACTGCGCTGCCCTCTTTAATTTTGCAGAGGCTTGGCTAAAGGAAACATCACCTCCTTCTGCCTCCCAAAGAGTTTTCGTGTGTCTACAAAAGGGCAATCTGATCTGATTCCATAGAAACGTGTTTTGGATCTCGAGCAATGTGCTTTTTCACCTTCTAGGTTTTAATGGCAGGCGGTGCCATCTGTTGAAAGCAGGACGGAAAGGGTTTTGGGGCTGATTGCCAGTATCTCCTTTATTGTCTGGACAGTGGGATTGGATTGAGCCACTTCTGGGAATGGAGCTCTGGTGGCCCAGTCTATAGCGTATCGAGCTGGTAACCCAAAGAATACTCTTCTCTTGGGGTTCGGATCCACCACAGGTCAAAGATGGGCAGTGTCCTCCTGTTAAGATTATTGTTATTGTGTATCGAGTCGGAGGCCACCCATAGCTGACCCTCGAACGGGTTTTCAGAGGCAGTAAATCGCATGAGAGGCGATTGCCCATTTTTCTCCCGCAGAGCAGCTTAGTGGATTCCAACTGTGGCCTGTGACTTTGGCAGCGCAGCTCCTTACTACAGGGCCATCAGGAATCCCTCTATTAAGATTCACAGCCTTGGAAACCCAGTGGAGGGTCCCTGGGAGTTGGAATTGACTGGACCTCAGTGAGTTTGCATCATGTAGGATATTTTTGGGTTTTTGTTTTTAGTCCCGGGTCACTTGGCATTCCCCAGTTTAAGTATGTAATCCCACTTGGAGGGGGACCAAAGACTGCAATTTCTGGAAAAGAGGCCTTAGTAGTGCTTTAGATTCTGGAGATGTGATTGCTTTTCAGTATCATGCTTTGCTAGATGCGGGCTGCTATCTACAGCAGTTCTGTATCCAGTGGTGAAGTAGAGTCTGTGTCTATCACATTCAAATTACACCACTGTAGACTAATACCCAGAACAGCCTTAAACATCAAACAGCCTGATTACCTTTTAACTGGAAAAATAAAATAGAAAGTTTGGAAATACTGACAGAGAAGTGAAAAGTGTGGCTACAGGTGGGAAAGGATGGCATCTAAAGGGCTCTCACAGATTCAAGACTTCAATTTTTTTTTCTTTTCTATCTTTCAGGTTCTCTTGCCCCTGGCCAATGTGGCCCTAATTGACTATACTCTGGAATTCCTGACAGCCACAGGTGTACAAGAAACCTTTGTCTTTTGTTGCTGGAAAGCTGCTCAAATCAAGGAACATTTACTGTAAGACTGTGTAACTTTTCTTGTTTCACCATCTTTATCCATTTTTCTTAGGGTGGATATAACTTAGTAATAGGTTTCTGATCGCAGAAAGTTTATCTATGTAGATCTCATTGGAAAGTCTAAGAATCTTTGTTCTACTCATTTTTAACTTTTCAGGACTATACATCAAAAGCCCTATATGAGTCCATCTTTCTTTTTTTTTTCATCTTTCTTTTTTTTTATATTATAATTTTAACAAAAGTTTACAGAAAAGTTGGATTTTCATTCACTCATTGTTGTTTTTCTCCCTACCCCCAGCTCACTTTTTAAAAAAAAAAATATTCATTCACTGTTGCAAAATTTCCTCCCTCCCCCGCCTTTCCCCCAGTCTGCTTTGTAGTACACCTCTTATTCTGGACTGTTGTCATACAAATAATGTCTAATCATGTATTCCTTTTAAACAGCTTTTTCCTTATGAGTCTATTTTGTAGTGATAAGAAATAGTTAAGAATGGTATCAGAGCTTTTCTGAATCTCATTTCTATAAAGTTTGGCCCCAGTGGGTTTTACTTTTTTATTTAATCGATCCAATATGCAAGTTACAGTTGTGCCATCTTTGTTTTCCTGCTAAACTTCTAAATACTGTCTGTTCTGATCCTTGAAGACAAAAATAAGCTCTTCATCTTTCTATTCCCAATGCTTAGTTTAGTGCCAGGCATAAAGTAGGCACTGAACATTATGTTTAGTGACATTTTTAAGAGTAACTCTCAGGAATGATGGATGTTTAGGAAATAGAGTCTAAGATATTAACATGGTCTCCATCAGAAATTGATAAATTTGTGTGACATTTGAAAGGGTAAATGTGCCTGACAATTGTATTCCCATGATATTTTTGTTTACTCGAGGTCTAAGCAGGATTTCAAGTTCAAGTACATGTTCAGGGGTAGGAGTCAGGGTAGAGAAATGAAATGACCTATAAAACACTAGTAACACTGGGAACTGAAAGCATTAATTATAGTGTATAAATATCTTTGAAGTTGAGGACGCTGGCAGGAACCCAAAAAAGCCATAGAGGAGTGTGAATGCTGAATGGGGGGTAAAAATAGAAAAGGTCCACATAGATCATATTCTTTACTCATTCCTCCATCCTCCTTCCTTCCAGGAAGTCCAAGTGGTGCCGCCCCACATCGCTCAATGTGGTTCGGATCATTACATCAGACCTATATCGATCCCTGGGAGATGTTCTCCGTGATGTTGACGCCAAGGCCCTGGTGCGCTCAGACTTCCTTCTGGTGTATGGAGATGTCGTCTCAAACATCAATATTTCCAAAGCCCTGGAACAGCACAGGTCAGGATGGGAACATGGTAAGGTGTAGTGCTAGCGACCACCAGAGCATTTCAACAACAGTTTTACAGTTTTCTTCCTAATCTTTGTAGGTTGAGGCGGAAGCTAGAAAAAAATGTATCTGTGATGACAATGATCTTCAAGGAGTCGTCCCCCAGCCACCCAACTCGTTGCCATGAGGACAATGTGGTGGTGGCTATGGATAGTGGCACAAACCGGCTTCTCCATTTCCAGAAGACCCAAGGCCTCCGGCGTTTCTCTTTCCCCCTGGTATGTTTGTTTCTGGGGTCCTTGAAGTGGAGACTCCTCAAGGGTCAGCAGGAGAAACTGTCATGTCACTTCTCCCCACAGAGCTTGTTCCAGGGCAGTGGCGATGGGGTGGAGATTCGCTATGATTTACTGGATTGTCATATAAGCATCTGCTCTCCTCAGGTGAGTTCTTCAGGTGCAGGACCACATGTCCCAAGAATAGAGCTCTGAGAGCATTGTTACAGCCTTAGAAAACCAGGATATATTTCCCTTTCCCTCTTTTTCTTAAATACTCTAAAATGAAGAGGTCATGTGTTATCATATTGTCCCCAGTGTCCCACTGGGAGTGTCTTGAGGATTCTGCCTGTGTCCATAGGCCCTTGGAGGCTTCTCTTTGCTTCCAGAGAATGCACTTAACCTCAGCCCTGCCCCATTTACCTCCACAGGTGGCTCAACTCTTTACAGACAACTTTGACTACCAGACTCGGGATGACTTCGTGCGAGGCCTTTTAGTGAATGAAGAGGTAAGAAAAGGCTCCAAATGCCCTTAGGAGGAGAGTATATGATTTTCTTCTTATCCTGGTAATTTCTTTATCCCTTTTTGCATTTTATTGAGTCTTAGGAGGGAGGAGAGAGGTGGTGGTGGGAAGCAGTACTTAAAGAAAAGTCTCTGGCAGTTTGGCTGTAACAGCTAGAGGAAGAGGAACCATAAGAGGGTTGGGAGGATATTGTGTCTGCCTCGGGAGCTTCTCTTTCCTTCTTTGTCCCCAGATCCTAGGCAACCAGATCCACATGCACATAACAGCTAAGGAATATGGTGCCCGGGTCTCCAACCTACACATGTATGCAGCTGTCTGTGCTGATGTCATCCGCCGATGGGTCTACCCGCTCACCCCAGAGGTGAACTTCACTGACAGCACCACCCAGAATTGCACTCATTCCCGACACAACATCTACCGAGGCTCTGAGGTCAGCCTGGGCCATGGCAGTGTCCTGGAGGAAAATGTGCTCCTGGGCTCTGGCACTGTTGTTGGCAGCAACTGCTCCATCACCAACAGTGTCATTGGCCCTGGCTGCCATATTGGTAAGCACGAGTCGGGAAATCGAGCCGGCCATCCAAGGAGTGAGGCCCCGGGTGGGGGGCCTGTGTCTCGAGAAACAGGGATGCAGAAGGATGAAGAGTTCCTCGGAGTTCCTAGGTTGTTTAAGAAAGGGGGAAACTACATTTTGAAAATGATCTTCTAATTTGTGGCCTATGAGTCTGTTAACTAGGTGACTCATCACATCTCAGGGCACCCTATATTCACATTCAGGGCCATGTAGATAATTAACAGAAAATAGTAACCTAGTTAGTACATTATAGCCAAAGGGCTTTGCTATACATTATTTCATCTCATCCTCACAAAAACCTTGTGGAGTAGATGTCATGTATCCCTGGTTTACGACTAAGAAGATGGGCCCCAAAAGGTTGTCTTACCCATGGTCACAGCTAGTAACAGGCAGTGTTGGGATTTTAATCTGAGTGTTCTGATTATAAATCCAGTGTTCTTTGTAATCCAGCGTAATTGCTAGAGTAGGGACTCACTTTATGGGATATGATGCTTCTGTTGTACTGCCCCCTTTAAAAGAACTGTAATAAGCTTCTAATTCTAAAACGTATAAGAAGTGGAATGACTAGGCTTCTATTTACAAACATAGATACAATTTCAGAATGTTCGTAAGTTTATGAGGCCCCAGCAATCTTGTAGGTTCTCAGATCCTTAAACCTCTAATCATTTAAAGTCTGTTGGAGGATGTTCAGGCTAAATAGTGACTCTCAGGCTTGCACTTAGAGAGGAAGTGAGTGGTTTTTTATAAGTTTGGATGAGGTGGAGGGCTTGGTGGGAGCTGGGATTAGTCAGTCCATTTCTCTGTAAGGGGCTCTGATCTGGAGTTAAGATCCTATGTGAATAGGAGTCCTTCCCATCCTGAATCAGGTGATGATGTGGTCCTGGACCGGGCCCACCTGTGGCGGGGTGTCCGAGTGGCTGCTGGAGCACGGATCCACCAGTCTTTGCTCTGTGACAATGCCGAGGTCAAGGAAGGAGTTACACTAAAGCCACACTGTGTCCTCACTTCCCAGGTGAGCCCTGCTCCATGCTGCACATAGGCCCTGAATTGGGTGGTGCTCATGCTTCAGTGAAAAGTGACCTTGTTTCCACTGATAATCAACCCTGAATTGAGTGTTCGGATCCAGTGGTTTCATTTGCCTTTTACCTGGCTTATTTGAAAACAAAGCAAAAAGAAAAGTCATTCTTATTGTTAATATGTACTTTTCTTCAACAAGCTAATTGGTCTTGATACCCACTCCTTTTTAACTCTCTAGGTGGTAGTGGGCCCAGACATCACGCTCCCTGAGGGCTCTGTGATCTCTCTGCACCCACCAGATGCAGAGGAAGACGAGGATGACGGCCAGTTTAGTGATGATTCTGGGGCTGACCAAGAGAAAGAGAAAGTGAAGCTGAAAGGTGTGATACTCAACAGGTGTGGGGCATCTGTATGTCTCTTTGCCCCATTAAAAACCAGTGCTTCTTTCTGAAGAGGTCTGTGCTTCTGCTAGGCCTTCCTTAAAGATGAGTGCCTTTTTGTAGGTTACAATCCAGCAGAAGTAGGGGTTTCAGGCCAGGGCTACCTCTGGAAAATGGCAGATAAGGACATGGAGGATGAAGAGGAACTCCGGCAAAGTCTCTGGGGTGAGCCATTCCCTTGCAGCTGAACCTGAAAGTCTGGAAAGAGAACAGCGACCTCAGAGTCGGCTTACTTGTTCACCCCCTTATTCATGAAGACCAGACAGCCATGTTTTTCTCTGTACTTGGCTCCTTCCTTACTTTTCTCTGTATTCTTGCCCTTTATGGGCTCTCAGGACTTAAAGTCAGCATGGAAGAAGAGAGTGAAACGGAAAGTGATCGAAGTATGGATTCTGAGGAGCTGGACAGCCACACAGGCTCCCCACAGATGGACGACATCAAAGGTGAGTTACCAGGACAGTGTGTGATTGGCGTGGAGTCAGGGCTAGGTGATTGAAAACTTTCCAGAGTGCTATTGTCCTGTGGATTTATCCGTGCTTTGGTTCCAGTGTTCCAGAATGAAGTCCTGGGAACTCTACAGCGGGGCCAAGAGGAGAACATTTCCTGTGACAATCTAGTCCTGGAAATCAACTCTCTCAAGTAAGAGCTGCCAGCCCCTCTCTTCAGAGTAACTGCAGGCGGGGAGAGGTTCTCTCTTTAGTGTTTCTCAGGAATCTCTTTTCACCATACCCCAGATGGGCAAGACCAGTGACTAACTGCATTTACAGCAAAAAGGGCGTTAGGTTCTAGCCTCTGCATGGATGTCCTCCTTCCAAAACTGTCTTGTTCCAGCTGACATTCTCTTTAGTGTCCTGCCAAAGTCATGATCCTTGTAGCATACTGTAAGTGGTGTCACCTCGGTCTCCCCACAGGTACGCCTACAACATAAGCCTAAAGGAAGTGATGCAGGTCCTAAGCCACGTGGTCCTGGAGTTCCCCCTGCAGCAGATGGATTCCCTACCAGACTCTAGCCACTACTGTTCCCTTCTGCTTCCAGTGAGCAAAGATTGGGGCTGGGGGCGGGGGCTTGGGTGGGGATAAAGACTCATCCTTGCTGTGTTTGACTTTGAAGAAGTAGAAGGCCGTGTTGTGGGATGTATGTTCTTCCCTTTGGGAGCTGATTGGGTCCTAGCAAAAGTCCAGAGGAGTCAGGTTGGGTTCAGTACTCAATGACCTTGAAGATGCCAGGGTTCAAAGCATTGTCTTTGAGTTGTAATTGATATCTGGCTGACCTTCCAGCAGATTTTCAGAGATTGTAAATTACATGGGAGGAGATTGTCTCATCTCTCTCTCATGAAGCAGCTAGTGGTTTCAAAATGCCTGTCTTTGGGTTATCAGCACAACTCTTTATTACAGTGTTGCTGTTAGGTGCCATTGAGTCAAGTACAATTCATAGCGACCCTGTGAACAACAGACCTGATCCCTGTCCTTCTTGTGCTGTCCTCACGACCTCTGACACACTCAAGCCCATTGCTCCAGTCACTGAGTCAGTTGACCTTGTTAAAGGTCTTCCTCTCCTTCGCTGTTCCTCCACCCTTCCAAGCATGATGTCCCTCTCCAGGAATAGCCTCCCCTACAGACATGCCCATCCATTCGCCATCCTTGCTGCCTCCAAGAGTACTATGGCTGCGCTTGTCTCCAACACCACATTTCAGAGGCATCAGTTCTTTTTTTTTTGGTGGAGGGTACAGGGCGGGTGTGTGTACCGTCAAATTAGATCTGACTGTTATAGGAGACATTGTCCCTCCTTCTCTAGCAGAGTACATCAGTTCTTCCTGTCATTCAGTCATTGTCCAGCTCTCAGATACTTAGCAAGTGACTGAAAAGACCATTACTTGAATCAGACTCACCCAACCACTAGGCCACCAGAACTCACCCCATAACCATATTAGATCCCCAAAAGTATATCTGGAATGGATCAGTGCTTTGAGAATCTTTGGCTAAAAATCATTTGACCCAGAATGATACCACCTTTTAGTCTAGAAGCAGATATCTTGAGACAGCAAATGGCACCTTTCCCTTTTTCAGAAAGTCTCTTCTTCCTCAGCACTGGCTGCCAGCCACTCCTCTGACACAGAACCTAGATCATCTTATATTCCTGTAGCTGTAAGAGACTTGTGTCTTCAGTGATTTTCTCTGCTGTTCAGGTTAGGTATGTGCTCAGGAATATACTGGACTGTCTCTCTTCCACAGCTGCTCAAAGCCTGGAGCCCTGTTTTTAAGAACTACATAAAGCGCGCAGCTGACCACCTAGAGGCCCTGGCAGCCATCGAGGACTTCTTCCTGGAGCACGAAGGGCTTGGGACTTCTATGGCCAAGGTGAAATACCACCTCAAGTCCCGTAGTCCTGCCTTGGCTTTCAAACAGGTTTTGTGATTTCCTGTAGCGACATGGCTGCCATGAACCCTGTGTAATGTTTGGCCAACAGCGCTGTACACCTCTGGTGTGTAGAGCATGGTTGGAAAGTGCAGCTGGAGCCAAGCTTTATTTGGGAGTTCGCCTGGGAATAGAGAGCCATACCCAGCAATAGTTTCAAAAGTGATACCTGCCCAGCCCACAATATTAAAGAGCCCACTCCTTTTGTTTCTTAAGAGACTGTTCATATGGAAGGAAGCTTGCATTCTCTGTTCTCCATTATATCTAGCTGAGCTTTGCAAGACCCTGAGATCCCCTTTGCTAACCTTCTGTAGGTGCTGATGGCTTTCTACCAGCTGGACATCCTGGCTGAGGAAACAATCCTGAGCTGGTTCAACCAAAGGGATACAACTGACAAGGGTCGGCAGTTGCGTAAGAATCAACAGGTGAGCCGGGCTCCTTCCCTCCTTCACCTCCTCTCTGCGTCCTTGGCTCTTGACGCCCTGGATTCCAGGGAGTTGGCTTCAGACCCTGGCTGTTAGAGCTGTTTATCCAAGAAGCTGCACTGGAGGGTTAGGGACTCCTCCCTGAGTAGCCCTTCTCTGTGTTCCCTTACAGCTACAGAGGTTCATTCAGTGGCTAAAAGAGGCAGAAGAAGAGTCTTCGGAAGATGACTGAAATCACACTGGCACTCCTGGCTCGCAGGTCAGGGCAAGTGAGGAGCTATACGCGCAGAAGGATGAATGACTGTCACCTGGACTGAGACTGACAGGAGCAGAGGCTGCAGCTACAGTATTCTTTCAACCGCCAGCAACCATGTGCCTCCCATCCTGACTGGGGAGTTGGGATGACCGAAGATGGGCAGGAAGGCTTGTCTTTATGGAAGAACTACACAAGCCACTACAGTTGGAGAAAGGCCAGAGGCCCGGCTTTGTGCTCTGGCTTTCCTCAGGGGACAGCAGAGACCAGCTGACCCTCTCTGCTGCTTGTATTTGTTAATAATTAAAGAGAGGGATATATTTGGTTTCTCTCTAACTCTGACCAGCTGTTGAAGTGTTTGACCAAAGACTTCTCATGCCTGACGTGGCAGTCTTTCCTAATACCTGGGGGAGAGAATACAGGAGTGTCATGGCCACTAGGGGGTACTATGGTACCTCACTAATTGACAACTTCTGCCGCTCATGGGCCTTGGAGGTCCTAGATTCTTCCCCACATCTGTGGACTGCTTTAGGAACCCTGGTGGTGCTCTAGGCTAAGTTTTGGGCTGCTAACCAAAAGATTGGCACCTCAAATTCATCTTCACAGGAGAAAAAGGAGGCAGTTTCTCCGTGAAGGTTTATAGCCTTAGAATCCCTGCTTTGAGTTTATATAACCTTGGAAACCCAGGCTCAGTCACAATGGCTGGGTGGACCAATGTGGAGTAAGACTGAGCCTATTTCCAGAATAGTCCACTTTGCAGCCTGGTTTTACAGTGCTGAGAGTGATGCTGCCAAACATATAAATCCCGTTGCAGCTTGTCAGCCCTTCTCACGTACCACCTCCAGCTGGTCTAGAACAAATGGGGTCAGGGAAACTGGACTTCTCTCCACCTTAAAGGTAAGGAAGTATTTTTAAGTTTGCTCTCAAGAGGTAAGAGCTTTAAAATCCAGAATGTTTTCTGCCTCAGCAATTTCATTATCTCCATGACCGTGAAATTGCTTCCAAAAGCAAATATCACTCCAAGGCAGCAGGGCCTATTCTGAGAATATGGGCAGACCCTGGGATGTGGCCTTTCCCAATACTGAGCATGTTTGTTTACTGTGTGACATGTACTGTGCTAAATAGTTTTCTTGTGTTTGTCTTCTTTTATTTAACCCTACCATCAATCTTTAAGCACATTTTCAAATGATCCTGAAGTTCAGAAAAGTGAAGTCCCTAATCCGAGGTCCTCTAACTAGTCATCAGCCGAGCCAGGAACTATTTCTAAACGCTGCAGCTGGAGCTTTACTCACTTTGCTGTACCACTTTTAGCCTAGACCCTGAGACACACCCTCCTACCTCATCTTTTCAGAGCTCTTGCTTTTATGTAACCCTAGTCTGGACACCTAAGCTGTGGCCATTGTCAGTATCTGAAGCGTCACAGATGAAATGGGTGTGTTTCTTCATTTTAATTGAGTGACAAAGGATAAACTGAGAAAGAACACCAAACTCCACTTGAGAAAAGTATCACTGGATATTTCTAAAGAGAAAAAACAGGCTGCCTGCGGTTTAGCTTAATTTACTTTTCTTGTTGAGTAAATTGTAGTCTCTCATAGTGATACAAAGCAAAATTCCTCAATGAAAATGAGGGATTAAATAAAAATCTCTAAAGGGAGCTCTAGTAGCCTAGCAGTCAGGAGTTGCACTGCTGTCCCAAAGGCAGATGGTTCCGATCCATCGGCTGCTCGGTGGGAGAAAGGTGGGTTGTCTTCCTCTGCAGTTTACAGCCTCTGAAAGCTCACTAGAGAGTCAGCTGTGAGTCGATTCGGATGCAACAACATGAGTTGGGATTCAACATCACATATTTCCAGACAAAAACAGATAAATCCAGGAAAGGGGTTTAAAAATACACATCAAGTTTCACAACTAAAAAATAAAAAAGCTTTCCCTCATTTCAACCATTAGGCGGTGCTTCTAGTCCTCTTAGCATTCTAAATGGGAATTTTACAGTCAAGAGCCATGAGACAGGTATTTGAAGACCAGCACCTTCCAACGTAAAGGGCAAGAGACCAAAACAAAAAATAAGGTGTTTTAGAGAGACTACAAGTAAAAAGTTAAAGAGGGAACTGTATGAAAAATGTCATGGTAAATGCTCTCAAGTCCACTACGGTTCTTTGCAACCTGCATCTTGCTCATCACTATCTAACTTCTGGGGTTTTGGACTTGAGCCAGCAGCCTGCCATATTCCCTGCCCATCTTGGATTTGTTAGTCTCCAAAGCTAGCAATCTGACCTGCTGATTTTGGATTTGTAGGTTCCTGAAACTAGATAAATCAGGAGAAACCTCTAGCCAGATAGCCAACCCATGGATGGGAGAAGTAGCTGTATCTAAGCACGTAAGCCATTCCCTTGAGGGAAATCTTCACTCTTTGAATGTGTAGACAGACATCACACACACACCCAGGGAGCTCTGTAGCATTGTCCGTAGGGAGTTGTGCTGACAACAAAGTTGGCACCTCTGGCTGTTTGAATTCACCAGACATTTCAAGAGAGAAAGATGAGCAGTCTCCACCCTTGTGATTTGCAGCCTCTGAAAACTACTAGAGGGCCAAGCTGTCTCTGTTCTGATGATGGCAGTGACTTTATTATACTGATAAATGTTGTTGTTGTTAGGTGCTGTAAAGTAGATACCAACTCATAGTGACCCTGAGAACAACAAATAGAAACCTTGCCCTGTTCCACACCATCCTTACAATCTTTGCAACACTCAAGCCATTGCTGCAACTGTGTCAACCCATCACCTTGAGGGGCTTCCGTTCTTTCACTGGCTCTAGTTCCAGAGCATGATGTCCTTTTGCAAGGACTGGCCCTTCCTGATGGTGCACTTGTAAAGAACATAATGGTTGTACTTCCTCCAAGATAGATTTATTCTTTTGGCATATCCAATATTATTCACCAATACAATTCAAGATTCATTATTCTTTGATCTTCCATATTTATTGTCCAACTTTTACATGCATTCAAAGCAATGGAAAATATACTATGGCTTGGGTCAGGCACGTCATAGTCTTTAAACTGGCACCCCTATTCTTTAGCATTTTAAAGAGACCCTTGACATCACATTTGTCCAATGTAATGTATCCTGAGTTCTTTATTACATACTCTAAACTGAGGAAAGTTTACAGTCTATCATTCATCAACATTTTGTTTTACTATATTGTAATTACAGTTGCATTCTATAGTTCTTACACATTTTACCACATAATTAAAGTAGATTAATGGACTTCATTAACTACAATGATCAATACATTTTAAAAAAATGTTTTTAACAGGTTAAGTACTGCGATTAGCTTTTTTCAAAGTACTCTCTCCCCTGACTACGTTTCTTCTATTATTCAAATTTTGGTTTCTGACTTGAAATTTGGTGAAACCAAGTTGCACCTTGGGGGCTAGGATTTTTAATATCTGCCTCACATACATTGGGCATGTGGCCAGGAGGGACCAGTCCTTTGAGAAGGACCTCATGCTTGGAAGGGTGAAGGGACAGCATAGGAGAGGAATACAGTAGGTGAGATAGATTGACACAGTAACTAGGGTAATGGAGGGAGGTGTGTCAGAGAAAGACTGGCTCAGAATAGGGCAGGGTTCAGAGCTATTGTGCATAGGGTCACTGTAAGTCACAGGCAACTCAATGACACTTAACATTATTCAAAAGTACCTCTCTAAAGTACTCAAGAGCAACGGTGTCTCTGGAGACTAAGGTGCACCTGATACAGGCCATGGTCTTTGCAATCACTTGTTATGCATCAGAGAGTTGGACAATGACTAAGGAGGACAGAAGGAGAATTGACGCCTTTGAGCTGTGGTGCTGGAGAAGAGTATTGAATGTACCATGGACTGCCAAGAAAACAAACAGATTCATCCTAGAGAGGGTTAAACCAGGCTACTCCTTGGAGGCAAGGATTCTGGGGCTTCGTCTGACATACTTTGGGCATGTTGCAAGGAGGGACAGGTCCTTGGAGAGGGACATCATGCTTGGGAAGGCGGAGGGACAGTGCAAGAGGGGAAGACCCTCTATGAGATGGATTGATTCAGTGACTGGGGTAATTGGGATGGGTGGCACAGGACAGAGCAGGGTTTAGAGCTGTTGAACATAGGGTCGCTATGAGTCTCAAACGACTCGACAGCACATAACAACAACAATGCATCAACAGGGAGCTCTGGTGGCCTAGTGGCAAGAAGTTGCACTGCAATCTCAGAGATGAATGTTTCAAATCCACCAGATACTTTGCTGGAGGAGGAGGGGCAATCTCCTCCTATACCAGTCAGATCCAATTTGATGGTACACACACACAAATAATAAAATTTAAAACAATGTCAAAGAAGAAAAAATTTTACACTAAAAGGGATCAGTATATTAAAAGCAAAGTGAATTTAAAAGCAAGATAATAATTAATGCCAAAGCTTTAAAACCAAAAGTTTGTAAAGGAAAGGAAACCTAGTTATTGAAAGCATGTAGCTTTGCAATGATGCTGGAGAAGAGTATTGAGAATACCATGGACTGCTAGGAAAACAAACAGATTCGCCCTGGAAAGGGTTAAACCGGGTGGTTCCTTGGAGGCAAGGATTCTGAGGCTCCGTCTAACATACTTTGGACATGTTGTGAGGAGAGACCAGTCCTTGGACATCATGCTTGGGAGGGTGAAGGGACAGCACAGGAGGGGAGGTGGATTGATTCAGTGACTGGGGTAATCGGGATGGGAGTGTCGGAGACAGTGCGATTGGCACAGGACAGAGTAGAGTTTATGGCTGTTGCACATAGGGTCGCTATGAGTCGCAAGTGACTCGACGGCACATAACAACAACAGCTTTGCAGTAAACCATTCATTCATTGATTCATTCATTCAAGCCAAAATAAAATATGCTGGCATGTCCTGCCTATTCCAACATAAACTGCCCCATAGGGTTCTCCAGGATGTAAGTTCACAGAAGTGGATTTGCACCTCTTTCTCCTGTGGAGCAGCTGGTCAGTTCAAACTGTGGCCTTTAGGTTAGCAGTCAAGTGCTCGACCACAGTGCCGCCAGGGCTTATTGATATTGTTTTGTGTACCTTAGTCAGAACTGACCTTCTAGTGGTTTTTCAGAGGCAGTAAATCATACAAGAGGCAATTGCCCATCTTTCTCCTTTGGAGCAGTTGGTGGATTTAAACCGCTTGTCTTTAAATTGGCAGCACACTCCTTACAACCAAGACATCAGTCATTGTTAAGTACTATGATTATGTAACAACAACAAATGTGATTTCACTATATTAAAAGGATGTAGGAGGTGGGAGAG